AACCCTTGAGCCACGGGTCCGCCGTGTTTTCGGTTTTTGATCGGGACTATATGTTTTTGGGTAATTCTACTCCGATCTCTCTCAGGATGTACACACCTGGTTCATTGTCATGGTTGCGAGCTAATTGGAACCCCGATTATATATGTTACTCGCTAACTATTAGTAACAGTGGTATTTTACCTACAAACTGAGACCACACTAACGGTAAAATACCATTGTTACTAATAGTTGGCGAGTAACATATACAATTGGGGTTTCAATTACCTCGCGACCATGACAATGAATCAGGGTGGGTACATCCCGAAAGGGATCGGAGTAGAATTACCCAATAAAACACCAATCTTATACCTACCTCTCAACATGCCTTTGTTGATAAGAATTCATGCCAGTCATGTCGCCTCACATTTCAGAGCGACAAAGGAAACACAATAGCAAGGGTGTATTTCGATCTAAAAATAGCCTTTGACAAAGTTCTCACAAAGGACTCATAACAAAATTTATAAGCCACAGCATTCGTCATTCCCTTCTATAATTTCTCAAACCCTACCTCGAAAACCGTTCTCAAATAGTATAGATTCCAAACATAGCCTAAGACTCATCTCCAATCACTAGCGGAGTACTCCAAGATAATATCTTAGGCCCTTCTCATTTATATTCACGACCTGTCAGATATAGCAACCAACGCAAAACGTTTCCATATACCGACGAGTTAAAACAAGCTTATGCGTATACTGAGCATACGGTGACTGAAATGCTCAACATAGTCAAAGCGGATCCAAAAAAACGTAATGAATGGTGTAAAAAAATGCCAAATGCCATTCTCCCCAACAAAATGCCACCATATGCTTTTGGCTCACATCAACTTTTTGGGACTAGAAAATAATAGAATCACAGTCAATAAAAGACTTAGGACTTAGCTATTAAAATACCCTAGACTTATCCCCCCACGTCAAACAAATAATGCCGAAAGCCAATCGATTATGTGGATATAGATATCAAAAAATTACACCTCAAATGTGCGTTTTACCTATTCTTGATTACTGTTCAATCTTTTACGTACCATGTCGTCAGATGCCAGAAAGAAACAAGCATAAATTCATAGACGCTTTACTAGCTCTCTGTCTAAGCGCGAGAACGTCCAGGATTCATATATAATAAGGTACAGTAGATATGGTCTTGAAGCCCTTCGCGAAAGGAGACTCCGAAATGGTCTACATTTCTTATTTAAAGTAACACATGACCACGGTATCCTCAGCACCAATATGTTAACAAACTATAACCGCTCCTGTTCCACCTAAAACAACGAAAACACCATACAAATCCTTAAAGTCAGACCAGCCTTACCATAAAATTTCTACACCATAAGATAATATGGAATACCCTACCTAAAGGTACTCCAAAAATTAATACCCTAGTTTAAAGGAAGATCTAAGAAATCTTTTCAAGTTATAATGTACATATATTTTTAAATAAACGAGGACATTTTTCAAGCAGTTCTTTGCCATAGCATTTGGACCAAAAGGGATATGATAACGCTATGTAGCTGACCGGAAGGCTGTATATCAGGAAAATTTGTGCGGAGCCTTTTTTACAGTCCTTAAAAGTAAAAATTAAAACTTAGAAAATTTTATTCATATGTTAATGTTCTCCCACTATAATCTTAAATTATTGAAAAAACTTCCTCTAAAACTGTACAGAAATATAGATTAATTTCTCTTATGACGTATCAATAGTATACATTTTCAGTTTTATCAAAATTTGTATCTTTACTAGATTGAATAGACGACAAACGTAACAATTAATCGTCTTCTATTGTCGCACTTGAATGACGATGGTGCTTCGCAAACAGCATCCAACTGCCTCGATCCACCTCATGCATCTGCAACGGTCCGTCCATTTATCACAAATGCTCCGATGGATAGAGATCTCTTAAACTCCGTATCGGCCTATCCACCCACACAGACTACTCGATAACACTTGCTTAGATACGCATTGAAATATTTGCACTTCAAACTGACCGTGACCAAATTTACCTCGGTTAAAGGAAAAACTGAGAATGAAAAAACGATAGTTCTTTTTCATAACCAAAGTATTTTTAATAAAAAAACAATAACACTTATGAAAAGAAGAAATTATGCGTGCCCTAGGTTCTTGGAACGGTAATTCACCATGTCTTGCGTCCTTGGCATGGCAATGTGCGTGCCTGGACAGGAAATGGACCATGGCTTCTGGTCGCAAGTATGGACGGCAAAATAACAGGGCGGTATAACCACATGCCTGTTGATGGAGTTGGGGTCTGATAACCAGGCCTCTAGTAGTTCTTGACCCATCTTATTAGCAGCGCG